TTAATAAGATAGTTTTTGTTAAAAGTGTTATTTATACTATATTTTCTGTGTTGCAGTTATTTATCTGCTACATAGAAATCCTACCAAAGAAAGTACAAAAGTATTTATTAGAATAAGTATTTATCTTGTTATATTACTAAGTGCTCTCCCAAATGGTAGCATGTATCTTAGCCTACAAAAAGTACTTAAAGAAAAATGTATACTAAGTGCTAAAAGCCACATATTATCCAAAATAATATGTTTTGTTTCTTGAGCAAAAAGTTCAACAACATAGTAATAATTGTATATTTATTCCTCTAGAGATACAGAATTTTCCTTTTTTGTGACACAGACTTTTTAAAAAATCTCTACAGGCCAGTGACATATCAGGCATATCGGGAATGTACACTGGAGACTACAGTTCATGCCAGCGGCTGGAATAAGGTATTAACCAAATTGTCTTTTTTCTTAGAAGATTTTAGTGTGTTAATGATAAAGTCTAGGAGAAATTGCTTACATTATACAACAGAAAATAAGTAGAGCTCATTATTAAGCATATAAATAAACCCAGCTATGTTAAATGGATTATTTTATTAATGCTGAAAGGTTCTGCCTGGCCCCAAAATGCATCTCCCGTAATAAGTCACCCTTTCTTTCTGTCTGTCCTGAATTTCCCATAATTTTTTCATTTCTCTGTATTAGATATGATATTCATCTCCAGATAGTTATTTGTTAAAATATGCATAAGTCTTGGGGGAAAAGAATAAGGATTTCAGTTGGGAAACTGCCTCTTCTGATTCTCTTAAATGAATAGTGCCATTTATGTTTTATAGTTTATAAAATATCTTATTTCATCATCACAACCATCCATTGCAGAGGACAGAATGGATTTGATTAGCTTTAGTTTATTTATTTACTTCCTTAGTTCAGTGAATAATTAGAAAATCAGAAAAATTAAATGACTTGCCTAGGACCCCTTGACTAGTAAGTATTGCAACCAGCGCTAGAGTTAAGATCTTCTGATTCCAGTTTCAGTGTGTTTTCCCACTAAATCATCCTGATCATCCATTTTCTCAGGCTGTAATATCTACTTATCTTGAAAAGGCAGAAGGGCTACAGAGATGCATTTTGTTGGGGTAACGTGGATAACGTAAGGGTAACATGTAGGAGCCCTGGTAGTGCAGTGGTTTACCACTCTAACTGAAAAGTCAGCTGTTCAAATCCACCAGCTTCTCTACAAGGGAAAGATATGATAGTCTGCTTCCATAAAGATTTACAGTCTTGGAAACCCTATGGGACAGTTCTACTGTGTCCTATAGGGTCATTGTGAGTCGGATCACCTTGACAGCAGTGAGTCTGGGTTTTTTTTTTTTTAAGGAAGTGTGGCCCTTAATGACGTGATGCTAGGGATAAGAAAAGTCAATAAAATTATTTTACAAATAGCCACCTCTACCCAGAATTGTTTATGAGTCAGACCACGTGACCTCATGTACCTAATTGGTGTATATTATTTTTCCTCTCCTTAATATAGTCTTTGGAGACATTGCAGCATAATAATTAGTAGTATAGGCTTTAGAATCAGTCTTGTTTTGAATGTCTTCTGTACCACAGACTCGATGTCTTTGGCAAGTTAATTAAGTTCTTTAAATGTTACTTTTCTGAACGTTTCATATAAATGTAATCATATAATATGTGGCTTAAGTCTCTTTATTTGTTAGCTTAAGTCTCTTTTATATGTAGTATTGCCACTCTCCCTACTCTACTTTTCTCCCCTTTTAATTTACTAATAAGTTGTTTATCCTGTAAAATTTCCTATCTTTTGGATTTTGTTGACTATATCCCTGATGTGTCACTTAACAGTTTCTTCTGTATCTATGTTATCTTTCCATTGGTAGGTAGATGTAGAAGCCTGATCAGATTCAAATTTAATGTTTTTCACAAGAATACATAATTGGTGGTATTCTGGTTTTCATAGCACATCACACTTGTTAGGGGCCGCCAAATCTGTTCCAACTCATAGCAACCCTGTATACAACAAAATGCTGCCCAGTCCTGAGCCATCCTCACAGTCGTCACCATGTTTGAGCACACTGATACAGCCACTCTGTCAATCCATCTTCCTCTTTTGTGCTGACCTTCTGCTTTGCCAAATAATATCTTTCTCTAGCGACTGGTCCCTCCTGATAACGTGTCCAAAGTACATGAAATGAAATCTCACTGTCTTTGCTTCTAGGGAACATTCTTCCAAGACAGATTTGTTCATTCTTCTGGTGGCCTATGATATATTCAGTACTCTTTGCCAACATGTTAATTTGTTTTTTAACACTGAATGGCCTACAATATCTTAATGTCTTTTAAATTATATTTTGAAGCAGACAGGTGAAGGATATTATTCAAACCTGATCAGTAAATTAGTACAGATAAAATTTGTAGGCTGTGACATTTATTAGAATTGTTAAAGTATAGGAGGGTAAAGTAGTAGATTAATGATCCAGAATGTAATTTGTCATTATAAATATCCATTGTATTGGGCAGGACTCATGGAGCTCTAAATCAGCATACTTTACTTCTATACCAAGCAAACTCAGGGCATTAGATAAGTATGTGGGTAAATGTGAGCCAGTGGAGTTAATCTCTCTTGATGGTCAAACATACCTTACCATTGCATAGCAAAAGCTACTGAACGAAAAAAAAAGAATTTATATGCATTGTGGGTATTACAATTATCTGGTAAGGAAGTAACTTAGAGAAAGGAATTTAAAAGATAAGACTATTTGGTTACTTTTTAGACTTGTTGTTGTTATGTGCCATCGAGTCGGCCCCGACTCATAGCGACCCCTTCTTGGGTTTCCGAGGCAGTTTTTAGACTTAGAAATGTGAATAGTGAGACCGCCTAGGAATTAATGCTTGGGAATATAGTTTTAATAATTTTTTTAATGATATGAGAGAGAGGGGTTAAAATTAGGTGTTAAGATGATATCAAATTCTTGTGTGTAGTAAAATACCTTATTGGTGGAGTTGAGGTATAGAAATAATTCATGAAACTTTGTGTATAGGCACAAAAATTAGAGAGCAAGTGGGTTTAACTGTTTAAAGAAAATAGTCTGAACTGTACTTAAAAGATCATGACCTGGAAGTCAGCATTTAGGTCCCTGGAGATAGTATAGGTCAAATAGATCAGCCTGGTGTATAGTACTAGGCATTCAGGAATTGTAGGAAGAATGAAAGGTAAAAAAGGAATCATCTGCCATAACATATGTCACCAAGGAGAAATTACCGACTGAACAGAAAATACTGTTGTTGTTAAGTGCCGTCGAGTCGTTTCCGACTCATAGCGACCCCATGCACAGCAGAATGAAACACTGCCCGATCCCACGCCAGCCCCACAATCCCTGCTATACTCAAGCCCATCATCGCAGCCACCGTATCAATCCATCTCCTTGAAGGCCTCCCCCTCTTTCGTCGACCCTCCACCCTACCAAGCATGACATCCTTCTCCAGGGAATGGTTCCTTCTTACAACATGACCAAAATAGGTGAGACGAAGTCTGGCCATTCTTGCTTCCAAGGAGCATTCTGGCTGCACTTCCTCCAGGACACATCTGTCAGTTCTTTTAGCAGTCCACGGTACTTTCAGCATTCTTCGCCAGCACCACAACTCAAAAGCATCAACTCTTCTTCGGTCTTCCTTATTCATTGTCCAGCTCTCACATGCATACCAGGCTCCTCAGCACTTGAAACAGTTCCTTAGCAGTTGACTTTCCCAATGCTACACGTCATCTAATGTCCTGACTGCTGCTTCCGTTGGCATTGAAAATACTAGTCCTCCCATAAAATGAAGTTTCTTTACTCTGGTTACTGGATGACAGAATAAAAAGATTCTGTAGATTCTAACCTGGAAATACAGTCAACAAGAGGAAATATGATTAATGTCTAAAATTAAGACAGGAATGAAAAATGCATCCCTTGATTATTATATACTAAAACTAACATATACAGTTTGATATGTGAAAGAGATAAATTTGGAACAAACCAAACCCACTGCCATCAAGTTGATTTTGACTCTTAACAACTCTGAAGCTGTAAATCTTTACAGAAGCAGAGTGCCTCATCTTTCTTCCACAGAGCAGCTGATAGGTTCAAACAACCAACCTTTGGTTAGCGACCAAATACCTTAACTACTACACCACCAGAGCTCCTTAAATTTGGAACAAAATAATACTATTTTATATAGCAAGTATAAAATTTTTGCAACTCATTTCCTCAAGAGGTACTAGAGCTTAAACATAAATAACTGTAAAATGTTACATGCCAGTGCATTAGAATGTTTAGAGGTGTAGAACATCCAGGACTTTGGAGTTGATACGAAGGAACAGCACCACCAACTGCCAACTAGTCAATACCAAATCATGGCAACCCTATAGGACAGAGTAGAACTGTCCCATAGGGTCTCCAATGCTGTAAATTGTTTTGGAAGCAAACTGCCCCATCTTTTTACTGTGGAGCAGATGGTGGGTTTGAAGTGGTGAACTTAGGTTAGTAGCTGAGTACTTTATCTACCACACCAACAGAGCTCCTTGATGTGAAAAATAGTAAAGCTAATTCACAAGCCATTCCTTAGTACTCCTACCAGAGGCAAAATATTTGGGATAGATGGAAAACCGTTTTCAGTTGTTTTCTTTTTAACAGTGTTCCCATTGTGGAAAAAGCCTAACAAATTTTTCTTAATAGCCCTCTTCCCTTCATTATTGTTAAGAAGGGGTTTTCAAGATATTTTGGGCTACAGTTCTTCTAGAATGTCCAAAAATGGCATTTATTGCATTTTTTCTTTCAGCCTTTAATATAGACTCGTTCCAGACTGCTTTTACTTAAAAGCCAAAGATTATTAATATGAAATATAAATTCATTGTTTTTTCTGTTTGTCATCTTCTGCAGAAATATTTTGTCATTCCTCAGTTATTACTTTGGCAGTCCAGTAACAAGGAACCGAAATTGGTTTAATTTCCTTTTGCATTCCTTTTCCAGTCTTGGAGAGACCTCTTGATGTTTTATACAAAAGAGATACATGCAGATGGTTAACTGAAAATACTTTATCTTTTCAGTATATAATTTTTAAAAAAATTTTTTTAGGAAGGCAAGTTTGTAAATCATAAATTTTGATGACTTTTTTGTATTATGCCATCACATTTTTAGATATGGGTAATACTGCCTCTCATTATAGGTTTTTGGTGACTTACATGACACCTCATAATTTTAAAAAATTCTTCTGGATAATGAAAGCAAATGATACAAAATGCAAAAAGTTAAGAAAGATATACAATGAAAAGAAAATTTATTTCCTACCCTTCCCTCCAGTTACCTAGTTCCCCTTCCTCATAGACAACCACTTTCAGCAGTTTCTTATATATTTTTCCAGAGATACTCTGGGTTTATGCAAATATTTTTATGTGTGTGTGTGTGTGTTTATTTTATTTTGTTTCATTGTCACACAAATTGTAGCATATTGACCACACTCTTCTCTATCTTGCTTTTTTCACTTAGTAATTCACTGAAGTGAATTGAGCCAATAAACGACCTAATTATTTTAAACAACAATGTAAATTTTACTGAATGACCAAAATTTTTTAACTAGTCCCTGTTGGATTTTTTTCTAGTATTTTGCTATTGTGAATAATACTTCAGTGAATTTCTTGTGTATATGTTGCTTCACATTTCTCTCTTTGTATGTATATATTTGATAAATTCCAGAAGTAAAATGCAAAGTCAAAGTATATGAGAAATTTTAAAACTCTGTACGTTTTGCCAGATTTTTCTCAATGGAGGTTTACACTCACCATAGTGTGTACGAGTGCCTATTTACTCATGTCTGCCAACACATTAAATTATTTTACAGGTGAAAAATGGTATCTCCATTTCATTTTTGTTTGCATTCCTTTCTTTCAAATGAGGGTAATTGTGTTTTTATGTTTAGGAGCCTTTTGTAGTTCTTTTTCTGTGAATTACTTGTTTTTATTCTTTGCTCATTTTTCTGTTGTTGTATTCACTTTTACTGACTTTTAAGAACTCTTTAACATTGATTTGTCTACATAGGATCTTCTAGGTTTTTTTAAAGGTTAAAATAACTTCAAGGTAAAAATTATACAATTAGAAGAATTTAGAGAACACCAAACTTCCCTCTTATGCCTTTATTTCATTCTTTCATCCTTTATTCCTTTGCTAGATTGAAAAAACTAAACTCACTGTTGATCTGACTCATAGTGACCCCTCCTTGGGTTTCTAAGGCGGTAACTCTACCAAAGTAGATTGCCCAATCATCCTTCCAAGGATTCGTACCACTGACCACCTAGTTAGCAGTCAGATGCGTTAGGCACTATGCCACTAGAGCTCCCTTTGGTAGATGGAAAGTAGAAATTTAGAAGTAACTGGTTAAATTATATGGGCTTGCTTTTTAGGATTCCTAAAATCTCATTTTAAAATATCTTAATATAAAATAGCTTTTAAAGGTGATGTTTTCGCTTTTAAAAATGTGAACTATAGTGGTTAGCAGTTTAAAGTTTTTATGTTTTAATTAGTTACGTGTGTTATTTTTGAGCAGGACATAAGGAAAAGTTACCAAATTTAATAAGATCAGAAATAATTTTTATTATACACAGTGACTTTTAAAAACTATAAAATTCTTAGAAGAAAACATAATAATAAATCTCCATGACTTTGAGTTAAATTATAAATTCTTTGATGTGACACCAAAAGCACAAGTGAAAAAATAGATATATTTGACTTCATCAAAATTTAGAACTAATGCCTCATCCAGAGCAAAGAAGAAGGGGAAAAAAACCAAAGATTCATGGAAACAATTAGTCATAGTGATGGGTACACCATGCGATCTGCAGTCTATATGACTATGAGACCAGAAGAACTAGATGGTGCCTGGCTACCACTGTCAACCTCTCAGAAGGGAATCTATGTAGGAGATCCTAGATAGAGAGGGAGAACAATGTGGAACAAAACTCAAAATCATTTGGGGGGAAAAAAAAGTAGGGGGGACGAGTTTTGCTGGTCTGATAGAGCCTGGTGGAACCACTGAGACTATGCCCCCTAGCTGCCTGTCAGGTCTAGAATTGAACCCACATCTGTGTCTTCCAGCCAAACAAAAGACAGGCATATAGTTGAACATTTACCTGAGGTAGATACACTCCTTGGAGAGAACAATCATGGGAGAAAGAAGGGCTGTTTTTGCACAGGGAGACAGTTCGGGGGGAGGCTTGCATGGAGGAATGGACACAGGGAAGAGGTAACTATCGGAAGGAAGTAGGAGGGGAGCTGTTGCATTGGGGTAAATTATAGTCAATGTCAGGAGACAAAGTGTGTGTGAACTGCTGTATGGAAAGTGAATTTGCTCTGTAAACTTTCACCCAAATCACACAAAAAAAGAAAAAAAAATTAGAACTTATGCACCATCAAAAAGTGAAATAATAATCCACAGAATAAAAAAAAATTGCAAATCACGTATCTGACAAAGGTCTTACTTATATCCAGAATTTATAAATAATGCTTATAATTTAACAATAAAAAGACAGATAGTATAATTAAAAATAGACCAAGGTTTTGAATAGACATTTCTCCAAGGAAGATACGCAGATGGCCAATAGGCACATGAAAAGATGCTCTACATTGTTAGCCATCAAGGTAATTGCAAATCAGACCTTCAGTGAGATACTACATCACACCCATGAAGAAGGCTAGAAGATAGGCAGTAACAGGTATTAACAAGGATGTGGAGAAATTGGATGTGTTGTTTTGTTCCATTTATGTGAAATGACCGGAATAGTTCAATCCATAGAGACAAAAAGTAGATTAGTGATTATGAGAAACTGGGGAAATAAAGGGAATAGAGAGTGACTGCTCCTGGTTATGAGGTTTCTTGTTGGAGTGTTGAAGATGTTCTTAAATTAGGCTGTGGTAATCACTGAACAAATCTGTAAACGTTACAAAGTCCCTGAACTGTATACTTTTAAGTGAGTAAATTTATGGTATAAAGCTGTGAAAATAACAAGGAGAAGTTCTCTACCTAGACAATTTCTAGTTTGAGTCATATAAAAATCAAATTAATTATATGGCAATCTGAAAACAGTCATATTTCATGAGCCCAATAACCTAAAATGCCATACTGGCAAATAATGTGTTTAGCAGAAAACCAAAATTAATGGAAACAATCAGTCCCCACGACTGGTACACCATCCGATCTGCAACCTATACAAGTATGAGACCAGAAGAACTAGATGGTGCCCGGCTACCACTGTCATCCACTTGGAAGGGATGTAGGAGATCCTGGATAGAGAGGGAGAACAATGTAGAACAAAACTCAAAATCATTTGGAGGGAAAAAAAAGGGGGGGGGATGGTTGGGACCAGGTTTGCTGGTCCAATAGAGCCTGGTGGAACCACTGAGACTATGGCCCCTAGCTACCCTTCAGGTCTGGAATTGAGACCACACCTGTGGTTTCCAGCCAAGCAAAGTTCAGGTATGTGAGTTGAACATTTACCTCAAATGGACACATGCCCTTGAGAGAACAATCATGGGAGAAGGAAGGGCACCTTATGCACAGGGAGACAGCTTAGGGGGCAGGAGAGTATGGAGGGATGGACACTGGGAAGTGGTACCTTGGGGAGGAAATTGGAGGGGAGCTGTTGCATTGTGGTAAACTGTGGTCAATGACATGAGACAAAGTATATGTGAACTGCTGTATCGAGAGTGAACTTGCTCTGTAAATCTTCACCCAAATCTAAATAAAATAAAATTAAAAAAAAATAATAATAATGTGTTTAGTTATACAGCTTAAATAGTGTCATAGTCTGAACATTTTTATTTATATAAAATTTCTGGTTCGGGTGTTATGGTTATTAACTTGAAAATTATTTTCTGTTGGGAGGTTTTTGATCAGTGATTCAATCTCTTCACTTCTTCTGGGTGTGCTGAGACTTTTCTATTTCTTCTTGAGTCAGTTTGTGTAGGTTGTGTGCTTCTAAGAATATGTCCATTTCGTCTAGGTTATCAAGTTTGCTGCCATACAGTTGTTCATATTGTCATATTTCTCTTTATTTCTGTCGAGTTAGTTGTAATATCCCCTCTTTCATTTTTTATATTGGTTATTGGCAGCTTTTCTCTTCTTTGTCAGTCTAGCTAAAGGCTTGGAAAATTATTTTCTGAATGATCAGAGTGATTTCATAATCTTAAATAGATATATTTTAAAAAGGACAAAAAATGTATAGTCCAGGAATATCATTAGTTTCAAACAGGTGATGAAAATTTATCTGTTATACAGACAAAATTAAAAAGCCAGTACCTTGGAGAAAAACTATATTCTTTTTAATTATAGGAATACATGAGGAATATTTATTTGAGAAAATTCAGATCTGTAAGAATAGAAAACAACCCAGAACTGTTATAATTGACTGCAAGTAAGAGAAATCCTAGCTAATAGTATCCTTAGTTGTATTCTTAGTTGCTTCAGCAATTCAGCAGTGCCCTTAGAAATTCAGCTTCATTCTCTTTCTACTCTGCCATACTAGCATGTTCGGTTTTTGTTATCATGCTTGTTTCCTAATTGCTACAAGATGACTGTTACAGCTTGAGTTCTCACATCTCCGTTTTTTGGGATAAAAGGGGTGTATGGGGAGCATCAGTGTGCTATTTCAAGTTCATCTTTTATTAAGAATGCAAAAGCTTTCCCAGAAGCCCTCTAGCAGACTCGTCAGAACTGGATTACATGTCAACCCCAGCTACAAAACAGGCTGAGAAAGCTAGATTTAGCAACAGGTAATGGCATTGTCGTAATTGACTTTAATTAGTCATCATTTATTATCTAAGCTAGGCACATTGTTCCCCTGAATAAAATCAAGACTCTATCAAGGAAGCTGTGTAAACCTATATGCAATATTCAGAACAATCCTAATAATAGTTAGTGTTTTATTTCCTTTATTGTAATAAAATTAAATGCCATGACATTGCAGCTGAGTATATAAAACAAATGCTAAGAATTTGTTTTCTGATTCTCTGACCTTTGCACTGAAGATTCTGGTGCCTCTGGTTTTGTTACGACAAATGCTTTTGGAGTTGACACGACGTGGACAAGAACCCTTGAGTGCACTGTTACAGTTTGGTGTGACTTACCTGGAGGACCATGCAGCAGATTACATCATTCAGCAAGGCGGCTGGGTATGAGCTGTAATGCATTTTTTAAATCTTTTCTTTAAAAAAAAAAAAATCAAGCTCCTTTGTTGTTATTGTTAATAGATTTAATACTAATACTGAATAACAATCAATAGAAAGGTAATTCATATAGTTAAATTAAAGTAAAATTACTAAGATTTTACTTGTAATAAATTAATGCGTTACTTTTAAATAGCTTTTAAATATAAAACATTCATGCATACAAAAATATATAAATAAGGGATGAGGAATAATAAAATCTTTTGTTTCAGTCTAAGAAAAGAACACAGGTAACACTTTTGAATCTGCTTATATGCCCTCCTAGATTTCAACATGCTTCTACCCACCCCGTTATGAATTTGGTGTTTTATTACTCTTTATCCACCTGTGTATCTATCTCTAGACCATATATTATTTTGCATATTTTTCAACTTTTGATAAATGATGTTAATATGTATTCTTAGCTTACTTGGTTTTCATTCAACCTTATATTTTTGAAATTCACCTGGATGCTATTTCTTAAGCTCTTTTTTATTATCTTTTTCCTAAGGTACCTTTTTAGACATTATTTTCCTAATCACCTTCCTTCTCCTCCTATGAAATTTTAATATTACAAATATATCATAATCTGTTTATGTACTATTTATGCTACTGAGTCTTCTAGTTTATCAATATGATATATCCTTTCATTTACTTAGATCTTTTAAAAAGCCTCAATGAAGTTTTAAATATCTTTCATAGAAGCTTATACATATTTAGTTATGTATATTCCTAAGAATTCTTTTTATTGCATTTCTTATATAGAAATGCAATAGGCTTTTCCATATTGATTTCATGTCCAGCAACTTTGCTGAACTCTCTTATTAATTATAATTATGTATATCTAGGTTCCTTTGGGTTTTCTACATAGACAACCATACCATCTATGAATAATATGGGTTTTTTATGATTATTATATCTTTAAAAAAATTTTTTTTATTGCACTAACCAAGATCTCTACTATAGTATTAATAGAACTGGTATTAGCAAGCTTCCTTTTTCTTGATGTTAAAAAAGAATGGTTTTAATTGTTTTACCATTGAGTTATATCAATATCAGTGAGTAAGGTTGGCCTGAAGTGTTTATTGTGTCTATGAGTGAGAGTGGCCTGTAATTTTTCTTGTCTGGATTCAGTATTAAGGCTATGCTGGCTTCGTAAAAGAATTTAGAGTTGGAGAGAGTATTTCTTCTTATTCTGTACTCTGGAATGGTTAGTGTAAAATTAGTGTAGAATTATTTGTACCTGCCTTACTATAATTTGCCTGTAAGACTGTCTAGTATTTTCATTGAGGAAGGTTTCTGTTTTTCTTTGGAAATTTTTATATTTTTCTAGTAGTATTTCCATTTTTTTCGCTAAGTTTTCAAATTTGTTGGCATAGAGCTTTTGATTTTGATGGGAGAGCACATTAGATTTTTATTTCTTAAATCATCTTATACTGTATCTTATTTTAGCAAACTTTTTATTTTGGAGAATTTGAACATATATGCTTGAATAGGATATTATAATGAACCCTCATCACTTACCCCAACAACTATTAACCCATTGCCAATCATGCCTTATTCACACCATTATCACTTCTCCTTTAATATTATTTTGAAACAAAATCCAGACGTCATATAATTTTACTCACAAAAATTTCACTATAGATCTCTAAAGGAGATGAGGGTTCTCTGTTTATTTTAACATAACTGTAATACCAGTATAACACCAAAATATAAAAAATATTTTCATGTCATCAAATATCCCATCAGCATTCAAATTTCCAAATGTCTCAAAAATGTCCTCTCTTTTAATCTCTACAACATATGGAATGATACCTCCATTTTCATTCCTAATATTATTAATTCCTTTCTTTTGTTTATTTTTAACATGCACAGATCCTAAGTATTTCGTTTGTTGAGTTCCGACAGTTGCAGATACTGGGTAACAACTATCCAATGCAAACTAGAGAACATTTCTACCACTCCAGAAAGTTCCCTGGTACCCCTTCGTATACCTTTTCTGAGAGATGTGTCTAGTTTATAGGTATCTTCAAAGAACCAACTTTCATTTTTATTTATACTTTTATATAATTTCTATTATATAATTTCTGCTTTCATCTTTACCTTCTACTTTCTTTATATTTATTCATTTTTTTGTCAAACTTCTGAAGTTGTTTGGCCCATTTTCAGCCTTTTCTTTCTTGTCACAAGTATTTAAGGCTGTAAATTTTATCACTTTAGCTGCATCTCATAAATTTTCTTTACATAGTTTCTTTCATTTTGTTCAGTTTGTTCAGTTATTTTAAAAGTTTCATCATAATAGCCTCTTTGAACCTAGAATTACTTAGAAATATATTTTTGAGTTTCCAAAATAACTACCAAAGTTTGAGTGTTTTAAAATTGTGTTATGATTATTAGTTTCTAATTTAATGCATTTTTATCAGAAACCATGGTCATCATGCTACTGAGTGGTACTGAATCTCTGAAATGTATTGAAACTCACTTTATAGCCTTAGTACGTGGTCAGTCTAAAACAGAACAAAACAAAACAAAATATATGTAAAACCCCATGTGCTTCAGAAGAATGTATGTTATATTATTGTTGATACAGAGTTCTAATGTGGCCATTCAAATAGTCTTCATAATTATGTGGTTTAAATCTTTTATATTATTACTGATTTTTTGTCTAATTGACTTATTTACTAAGAGAGATATATTGAAATTTCCTACTATTGTGATAGATTTTCAGTTTTCCTTTTAGTTCTATCAGTTTGGGCTTTATATTTGCAGGTTATTTTGTTAGGCTACTACAAATTGTAAATATTCATTTTTCTTGGTGGATTGAACCTTATTCATTACAGTTATGGTCTTAGTTCCTAAAAATTTTTTTTGTCTTGAAGTCTGTTCTTTCTAATATTAATATATACACCCCAGCATTTGCCTCTAATCTTTTGTATCCTTTTACTTCAACTTCTCTTACACCAAACAGTTATTCATCATTTAACAAGTTATTGAGTACTATAAGCCCTGTCTTGTTCTAGATTCTGGGTAAATACCTGTGAGCAGAGAAGATTGTTAACCTGATAGATAGAATTTACATTCTAGGGGAGAGAGGCAGACAAACAAATAATTAAGATACACAGTATGTCATAAGGAGCCTTGATGGCACAATTGACTGCTAATAGAAATGTTGGTGATTTGAATCCATCAGCCACTCCACCAGAGAAAAGACATGCTGATCTATTCCTGTAAAAATTACAGCCTAGGGAACCCTATAGGGCAGTTCTGCTCTGTCCTGTAGGGCACTAGGAGTCAGAATCAACCGATGACATACAACAACAACAACAACATAGTTTGTCAGATGTGGATAAGTGCTATGAATTAAAATAAAGCAGAGAACTTGTATGGGGGTTGAAGTTTTTAATATGGTAGTCAGGGGAAACCACTGAAAAATAACATTTGGGCAAAGACATTGCTTAATTACCTCCCTGGTTTCATTTGTGCATTGTTTCTTCTCTTCTGTTTCACTCTTGCCTGGGAATTTCTCTTTCTTTGAACCCAGAATTTTTTTTTTTTTTTCCAGCTATGTTTATTGATTTTGTAGTACACATTATTGCTTTTTAGCCTCTTATGCATCTAGGGGTTAGAGCTTTTCATTTTTTTTTTTTTTTTAAGGGAAGTTTAAACAATACAGACTTTAATCTGGAACATACTAAATTTAGGTGCTTAGTAAATGCCAGTTGAGTGAGATGCTGAGCATTTGTCTTAGGAAAATAGAAATATTGTTTTAAGCTGTTTTTAAAAATAGGAACTGTGAAAAATTGTTATTTTCTTCTTATGTTAGTACTATTTTTTTCTTCTATTTCAACCAGTAGAGTGAATGATATGTGTGAGAGCCAGAGGCTACCGTAGGTTAATTTCCGCTTAGCCTGCATGGTGCCTGACCACAAAGGAAGAAGGAAAATGCAGGAAATACTATGTATTCCATTCTTGATTCTCAGATTTGTTATGATGTACTCCATCAAAGTTTGTTTGGTGATCATTTTTTTTTTTTTACAGAGAAAGTTAATATTTTATTCATCCCAAATATCTGTGTTAATAATAGAAAAGAGCAGTAATTTGGGTAATTAGTTCATTAATATTTAAAATATGTTTTTATTTTTAAATTTGTATGCCAAATTTGAATTTCATATTGTTAGATCTAAGCTTCCATTTGCTTATGTTTAAAATGAAGAGACTGCTTTATTGGCTAGTTGGTGAAGACTAGTTTGGCTAAAGTAATGTATCCTTTGATACAAGGTGTCAACATGAATCATCTTTAAGGTAATTTGTGTTAAACACTACATTGTCAAGGCTTAATGTCATCACACTACCCTTCCAGAGGTGAATCTTTTCTTTTGTTGAGGAAGGTGAGGTCCCTGCAGAAAAAGTTGTATGCTAAAAATGCCAGAGCAAATGATTATAGAACCAGAATTTTCACTCTTACTTTAGGGCTTCTCTACTACAGCAAAGGAATTGTCTCTTTTTTCTTTTTTCCTCAGTATGTGTTAGGTGTGGAATAGTCAATCATTGTTTATCTTTTATGCATTTACCAGGCTACTTGAAATCTCTGAATCTTAGTCAGCAAAGAATTTTTATAGATGGAAGAGAATGAGAAAGAATCTTCACGATGTTTAATGATAGCCTGAAACTCATTCCACATTATTTACTTATCTAAATAGTTTCCATTCAGTGCCCATGAGTTCTATCAATCTTTTTTTCCCTCTTCTTCTTGTAATTTATTTATTTATTTTACAACAGCAGAATTTATTTAGCTATTTCCTTAGCTAAATATGTACTACATGTACTTACTTTTTTTTAATGAAGAATTTTAAATTTAATTTCTTCCCTTCACCCAAGTTCATATGTGTTTAATCTTTAGTTAGTGGTTTACCCTCTTCCTCACCTACCCTTGGTAGCCATCAAAGAATATTTTGTTGTGAAAC